GAAAGTAAAAGTTAATTTCCACCAGCTATTTTTGTGCAAAGCTCACTGAACCTGTAATAATTAAATGATAGTATATAGGAAACAAACTTTATTTCAGTCTAAATTCAATTATAACAAAGGCACTACACATGAATCAGTTAAGTAAAACATGAGAAGAGAAAAAAAATTAAAAATAGCTCTATTTTCTGTTGCCTACATTGTGGAGGGTGATTTTGCCTCTTACCAGGAAAATGGGGAGGGGGACGATGTTAAAGTGGCATTCAGCAGGTGGGAAACTCTAAAATCAGTTTTAGTGGCTTTAGTGACTCACAGCTCAGAATAATTTCTATTGAGAGCTGCAGCAGATTTTCTTTGTGTACAGGCTGTGATCAGCTGACCTGTGCTGCTCTGAGGTTTACTGTGCTCACCTGAATTATGCAAATTCTCTAATTAAGATGAAGGAACTGACCTCCCAGCCCATTGTTTCTTCAGTGGTGCTAAGTTTCAGTCATTATGCAAATGCAGTGTTTATAAGGTTGGGGAAACCTGCAGTCAGCTGAGACTGAAGAAGTCACTTGGATGAGTGAGGAAATGTTTCTCCCACTGAAAACGCTACGTCCAGATGAACAGAATCAACGTTTGGAGATTTACTTACCTGGATGATTGAGCATCAAGACGCCCTCACCTGAATTCAACAAAATGTAAGCAGATGTTTCATGAGTCCTCCATAAGACACTATAAGGTTGGTATGAAGGTGGGATTCAGTAAATGAATCTAAGCAACATCTCTGCTACACTTGATGTGATCTAACTCTGACCATGAAACCACAGCCACTGTCCTCCGGTCACACACTTTTACTGTGAATAACCACAGTACTGCAAACTAACCTGTTTATCCTGGACTAACCTGCAGAGTCTTCTCACGCAGTCTTTAAATAGCACAGTTAGTATGCAACAGGTTGTTGTGCAGCACGTTTCAGTACATGAAAAAAACACGTCACACGTAGAGACCCAATATTTAATTTTAAAACATGAGGACTTACATGTAAGCTTTACAGCAGTCCTTGCCTTTAATATGACCTCCCTTCTTCCTCTTTCTTTCTCCATCGTGGAGTGAAGTTAGGTCTCATTTTTTTTCTCTTCCTGTGAATTACAGCAGCTGGACCTTTAAGCTAGCAACACACTGTGTGACAAACTGTGTTTAATTATGTTTGTTGAGCTGATAGAAACGCTGCATTTAAGATGACCTGCCACTTAAAAAGCATCACTCCATTTATGTTCTTCTAGCTACTCTTTTGTGGGGTTAGCTCGATGTTGAAGGCCTACAACTGCATCTTATGGACGGTGTTGTGCTAACTTTGCCTGTTTTGAAAATGTAAGGAATAGAGAGTACAGATATTTATTTAAAAATGCAGACAGTAAAAGTAAAAAGTTACCCGGAAACAAAATTACTCAAGTAAACTACAGATACCTGAAAATTCTACAGGGCAGTTTGAAGGCCGTTCCAAGATCCAGATCCCTTCCAGATCCAGTGCGTTTGAGGTCACTGACCTGTTGTTGTTTTTTTACCCAACCATGTCCCAAGTTTAAATTGTCTAGCTGCTGACTTCATATACTTAATTATTCCATCCACTTTGTGCACCGTACCAGTATGACTGAGAGCTAAACAGCCCCACATCATGATGCTACAGTTTGAAACAAAGTTGGAAAGCCTCATTCATTTTCCTTCAAACATACCTCTTGTTATTGTAGCCAAGTAGCTCAATCTTTGCCTCATCTGACCATAAAACATTTCTCAAGAATTCCTTTCCATGTGGGCAGCTGCAAACTTCAGCTGAGCTTGAAGGTGCTGATTTTGGAGCAGGGGCTTCTTTCTTGGTCTCGGTTCGCAATTTTATACAACTTGCTTCACAATGGACAGTGAATCTGGTGTTCTGGAATTTTCCAGTTTATGGCAGGTTTGAGCCTCGGTGCTTCTTGGGTGGTTTCTCAACATCATAACCAATTCCCTCTGCTCTGGGAGCAACAGTTTGGCTCTTCCTCCAGACCTCGGCAAAGTGGTGACAAATCTAAAAAACTTGTACTTTCAGTTTTTTAAAATGGGTTAAAGTGGGTTAGTGTTATGCTTGTCATATGCTCATGCTACGTGCTGATTGTCCTTTTTTCTGTGAACTCACTGTAAAAAAAACAAATTATTGTTACTGTTTATCTGGTACTTAATTACTTTGGTGTAGTATTAATTTTAATGGCAGGAGACTTAATCAATGTGAGGACCTGTAAAATAAAAATCTATGCACTCCTTCACATTTTCCAAACCTGTCCAGTGGACTGGAGTGCAGCCTTTGCTGGGCCGATTCTGGCCCACGAGCCGCATGTTTGACACCGCTAGCATATAGTATATAGGCAGCTCTGAAAAAACATTTTGCTTCAGCTGATTAATGTCATGGTAGATACACTTAAAAAAACAAACAAAAAAACATCTTCTGTGTTGCTGACGGCCCGTGTCACTGTTTTGCACGGTAACAGAGTGGATGCTAGAGTGGATAATAATCATAGTGGTCAATTGACATGCTCTGCACAATTTTGTGTGCATTTTTAATTTACTGATATTACAACATGTAGGAATTTAATTAAATGTTCAGTACATTCAAATAGTATTCATAGTTTGGTATCTAAATCCTAATATTGTTGGACAGCGTAAAAGTGTAAATGAAAATAAAACATTCCGGCATGATGGCTGGGCTGTTACAATTCCCATTTCAGCTGGTTCAATTCAGTTCAGTTTTATTAATATAGTCAAAAGGTGTCCAAATAAAGCTACTTTCACTTATTCCCTTGTCACAGCACGAGTTTACCACTGGACACCCTTCCTGGCGTAACCCCAAGGAGGATTTGTGTCTCTGACTAGAACTGAACCAGATACCTTTGTGCTTGCAAAGTCATTGTGTAATTCACTACACTATAGAGCCACATTCAATAATACAGGTGTCCAAATAATTCTGTTTAAAATGTTGCAAAAGCCAGATGTTGCAAGCGGAAAACATGTCTCATACCTTTCAATTGTACATTAAATGCCTAAAATGGTAACATGTAGATGAAATTTAAAAAAAAAAAACAGAATGCAGAGAATGCAATCACAAACCCATATTTGATCTATTTTAATACAACATAGAAAACATTAAATATATCAGCTCATTTTAAATGAAATGGCAGCAACAGATCTCAAAAAGCCAGGATGGGAACAACAGACAGTTGGAAAAGTAAGTAGTAGTAAAAATACTCAGATGATAGAACAAGAACATTTTTCCGTGGGCAGCGTGACAACTTCAAATTCAGCCGTGCCCCTTTTCATATAAGACTTGTTTGCAAGCAGCTTGTTAAAATAAATTTGCAGAATAAAGTCAGGGTCATTTTAACACTTATGTAAATATGAAAGTGATGGTACATTCAAAACACTAATTATGAACATGAGAATGTTGTGTAGCAGCGGCCGGCACTACATGGAGAATTTGGACAAAATTAATTTAGCATTATTAATTTTATAGAACAATTCAGAATAAATTATTAAATCATGGAAATTAGTTTATTATTTGTCCCGTCCTACCCGAGCCTGCTTGTGCCACAGGATTCTTCCTGTTAAAACTTTTTTCTTTCCCACTGCTGCCGAGTGTTTTTTTCATATTTCTTATATGATTGTTGGGATTTTCTCTGTATTATTGTTGGGTCTTCCCCTTACAATATTAAGCACCTTGAGGTGACTGTTGATGTGATTTTGTGCTATGTAAATAAAATTGGATTGAACTGAACTGAACTGAACTGAATTGAATGTATCATGAGAAAATAAACGTGGCAACCTGCAGGGCTCATGGTCCGACCACTGTACCTAAGCAAACTGAAACCAAACAACCTCTGGCTAAGCAGATACCACAACACAGAAGAGCTAACTCATTAGGCCAGGCAGGGAGGAACACTGGTTTCAGCAGGGAGTCAAGGAGGCCATTTATGTAAAAACTGAAAGACCTTCTCTGAATTGAGGAGGGGCCTAAGAGTTCATCTTTCACCATCTTACAATGCTGTGATTGCAGGAATCCCCTGACTCTCTGTGAATGGTACTCATGACCATTGATCAGTGGTCATTGATCGGTGGCCATTGATCAATGGTCACTAATCAATGGCCGTTGATCAATGACCACTAATCAGTGGTCATGAAAATTTGCAGAATTATAAGCATAAAACTGACCTCACAGCCTGTTGTTCCTTCAGTGGTCCTACTGTGAGTTGTTATGAAACGTACTGTTTATAAGGTTGGGGAAACCTGAAGTCAGCTGAGAGTGAAAAAGCTAAACCTCAGTGGTTAAAGCTTTCAACCTCACACGTATGAAAGGCTGAATACTTTAAGACTTCATCAGTCTGTAGGACTGCATCATCAAGGGCTGCGTCTGAATGCCACAAAGCCTCTGACTGAGCACACTGTATTAAAGCGAAGGTCACTTCTTCCTCCCTGCACAAGTGCCTCATACAGTAATTTATTTTTCAAGCAGCTTCCTTCAGCTTCAGCCAACACAAAAAGAGGTTAATTATTTGTTCAATTACATTCATTTGCTTTTTATGTTGGGTGTGCTAGAGTAGCTGCTAGATAATGCTTGTTATAAAATTTTCAATACAACACTGCATCCTGCAGGTCAAACTGAGCACAACAGCAGCTGCGGACAGACAATCTCGCTTTCCAGGAAGGTCAAAATTTCAAAATCCATCCAGTTTTGTAAGTTAATAATACTGAAACACTTGAGAGAGACACTTGAAGTTTTTTGTTGTTTTCTGTTGTTTCGTTTACATCTGTCTGTATGTTAAATTGAATATAAGCTCTTTTTCATGTGTATTCCCTGCTTATCACTTTCAGCTCTAGTTTCTAGGTTTAATCAAAAGCGAAACAGATCAGTGATTGGAGCAGAGGTGACATGTGACTTGTAGCTGCTAATTTATTACCTGGAAGAGTCAACTTCTTTACACCTGGGAGTTCACCGTGAAGGTTAGGCGGGTTCTCGCTCTTGGACTGAAAGCATAAACTTTCAATTTTTTTAAAAGTTTTTCTGGATTTTTAAAAATTCTCTTTTATAATCAACGATGGACAGGCAGCTTGTATGGGGAAAGCTGTTTCTGATACTCACAGGTACGCTTTATGCTTTATGTTTTTTCACTTCTGTGAAAACCATTGCCACACCTTTATGGTATTATCGCCTGTGTTAATCATTAACCCAACTTCTTGCTACTCACCTGGAACAGGATATCGTTTTACTCAAAGGAGACATTCAGATTTTTCTTTTCGACAGCTGCCTTGAAATAAATGTAAAAGTTTGAGTTGGTCATATTCATGAAACTAGTTTTTAAAGTGATCATTAAAGAAGCACAAGAAACTAAAAGACACTGGTCATTCCTTTTTATTCCAGTGCTGTCCTGCTGCAAGAGTATTCAGGTGTCCATTCCAAAAAATGAATATGAGGCTGAAAAAGGAGGCAGCATTGACTTGACCTGCTCCTGGGTCCCTGCAAGTCCCTCATTGACCGACTATGTACTCACATGGGAAGCCTTCCCAGAAATTAGTGGAGACCCAATGGTAAGAAGGGAAATTACTGCACTAAATACTAAATATATGTTTATGTAGACCCTTACTGATTTTACTCAAGATTCCGGGCTGTTTTGGGATTATAGTATTAATATATAATATAATATAGCATATAGTATAGTCTTAAATATGCTATAGTCCTAAAAAGGACAGTTACAGTTTTAATAAAATAGAATTTCTATGAAAAGAAAAGTGTGTTCTACACTTTACTTGAATGTAACATGGTTCCTTCCTACTAATATTGTAATGATTTTGTCCCAGTGGATAACGAACAGGTGAATGACTCATGTATGGTTTCATGTGTATAAACTACTCCTTCACCTATCAGATAACCCAGAAACAGGATTAAGTCTACATACAGCTTTTATTTGCCCAAGCTGTTTCTAGTTCCAGGTTGTTCCTAAAACAGTGCGTTTTACCTGTATAGAATAAAATCATACATATGCCTCATTTGCATGCCGTAAAGGGCTTTACGGGCTGTTCTGCATGTAACCCACTGTATTTTGTAATATTTACAAACATTACTTCCATAATTAAACTAAGCAGATATCTTATGCTTGTTTTTATTTTTCTCAAGAAACGTGTGGCTACTGCATGGTATGGCAAACCGGTTGAAATTTCCCCAGCTTATGAAGGCAGAGCATCCTTGGACGTTGACCCTAACACTCGAGTGAGCACACTGCATTTAACACAGCTCACCATGCAGGAAAACCGCCATTTCCAGTGCAGTGTCCTTATATATGGTGACGATGATGGAACAACTCGTACCACCACCTCCCTTGTGGTCCTGGGTGAGAATTAGCAAACTGATAGATTAGCCTCTTACACTCCAAAATACAGTCTCAGAAATGACGTAAAATCAAAACTGTTGTTTATGCTAACTGTTTTTATCTTGTAGTCCCTCCCTCTCCACCAATCTGCAAGCTTCAGGGAAGTGCAGAATATTTTCAAAATGTTACACTCACCTGTTTGTCTGAGGAGGCATCCCCAGCACCCACCTACGACTGGAAGAGCTTTAGCGTCGACAACAGTCCCAGACAATTTCCACCTAAAGCAACTCAAAGTATGCTCTTCTACTAGCAATATGTCACTTTCAAGTGCTCTGTGTAAATACAGCAGATTGGAAAAAAAGGCATTACTCGGCACTGTTTCAGCTAATCTTTGTCATTATTTTTCAGAGGATGGAGTCCTATCTCTCTTCAATATAACAAGGGAGACATCTGGGTACTATATTTGCACATCACAAAATCGAATTGGTTCTGCCAGCTGCAACTTTACTTTGGCTGTGATGCCTGGTGAGCATTCCAACTTCTTTTAATTCAGTTTTGCAGTTTACACTTATCTTCATTTACACCAGCTGCAACAGTTGACAGTTTTGGAACAATGTTTCTTACAAACTCATTGTAGATACCAAGATGACATCTTAGTTGCAAATGTAGTTGACATTTTTGGTTATTACCTCAAAATTCAGACACATATAATTCGAACAGAAATAAATAAGTCAGAATTTCATGATACCTAGTTAGCTGAAATTGCGAGATACTAACCCCGAAATGCTGATATATGACAAAATAAACAAAACCAAAATGGAAGCGCTTTAAGCCTGCATTCTTTTTAATGGCCACCAGGGGGCAATAGCTGTGGTTAATAAAAATCTTCAGGTCCTATTGAGGTCTATGAGAAAGCAGCTTTTCGCTTGACCTTTGTAAACACTTTCCTTTCATATTAAAGAAAACATTGAGCCATTTTGTAAACTTTGTCCAGTCTTAGTTTCAAAGAGTCTTAGTTTTTTGGGGGTACGTTCATTGGCTAACAGGTTGTGGTTGACAAGCCATCACAGTGAGTGCAGAGTTCTCATTTCATTATAAAAAGAGGCAGCTTGTCTGAGGACTGCTGCCATATTGACATATTGGTCAGCATTTTATTATTTTACCATGACCATGTGATTTAAATTGCCTGACATAATAATTTAAATAATTGCAATTGAAATTCACCTTCTCCAAAACATAACTTGACAACCAGCAACAGCTCAAAGTTAATCTTTAAACCCTGGATGAAAGGTTTAACCCTGACTTAACTATATTAACTTACTTTTTCTCCAGCCAGCATGAAAATTGGGTCCACAGCAGCTATAATAGGAGGAGTCCTCGCAGGGCTCCTGGTGGTGGGGATTCTCATCTTCTGTCTTTGTCGGAGAAGGAGCAAGAAGAATAAATATCCTGAGGGGTATGTACTGTGTGTTCTGGATTTTTCTGTCATTGTAAATTGTTTTAAGCAATTTTTGATTAAAACAATTATTGAAAGTATCTCAGTCAATCAACCATCCAGCTCCTTCATGTGTTTGTCTCCTAGTTCCCCTGAAGAAATGAGGTATTACGACCAAGATGCTGCCGAAGGTGAAGAACCATACTCAGACAACAAGTCAAACAGCGAGAAGAAACAGGCCAGCCAGAATGAGGATAATGATGTGGCACCTCAAAATATTTCCAGAGTCGAAGAAGTTGTGCAGAAGTTTGCAGATGATCAGTACAGTTACAATAGCAGCAAAGAAAGGTATGAAGGCAAGGGCAGTGATATAGACTCTCACCGGTACCAGGACGACCAGCGTGACCATTATGGTGGTAACCGGGATCGTCTTGATGATCAACGCGAACGTTACGGTGGTAGTAGAGATCGCCTCGAGGATCAACGTAATCGTTACGGTGGTAGTCGAGATCGCCTCGATGAACAGTGCGATCGTTACGGTGGTAGCCGGGATCGCCTTGATGATCACCGCGAACGTTACGGTGGTAGCCGGGATCGCCTTGATGATCAACGTGAACGCTATGGTGGAAGTCGTGATCGCCTTGATGATCAACGTGAACGCTATGGTGGAAGTCGCGATCGCCTTGATGATCGCCGTGACAATTATCGCGGTAGCCGAGATCGCCTTGACGATTACAGTCGACATGACCGCGGTGATCGCTATGGTGGTAGCCGAGATCGACTTGATTACAGTGACAGAAACCAGTAAAAATCTTTTACTGCTTAAGTGAAACCTGCAAAATGAATTTATGTCTTTTGCCTTGTCCCCCTCCCCTCAGCCCCAGCTGGTTTCTTCCTATTAGAAGGGAGTTTTTCCTTCCCACTGTCGCTAAAGTCCTTTTTCATAGGGGGTAATCTGATTGTTGGATTTTCTCTTTATTATTGTAAGGTCTTTACCCTACAATGTTAAGCGCCTTGAGAAGACTGTTGTTGTGATTTGGTGAAATTTCAATAAAATAAAACTGAATTGAATGCATCATGAGAAAATAGAAATAGCAACCTGGAAAGCTCACAAAACATGTACAAACTCCAAAACACGTACAAACTCCGAAGCACGTACAAATTCTAAAGCACGTACAAATTCCGAAGAATGTGGAAACTCCAAAGCATGCACAAACTCCAAAACAAATGCAAACTCCAAAACACAACGGAAGTGCTCCAGGACGCTAGGGGCAGTGTTAAGCAAAGCACACTGACTGTTAGCTAACGTCAGATTTGACTCCACCATAAACCAAGCATTCATAGTAATTAAAAAGAAATCAAACAAACAACAGTTCGCACATTACCTTTCCTATAAAGCGTGGTTGTTCTATTCTTGCAGGTGTGTTTATCCTATCCAACTCCATGTGTTTGCAACAAACTTGCCGTTTATTTTGCAAATCAAGCTCAACACTGCCCCTAGCATCCTGGAGCACTTCCGTTGTGTTTAGGAGTTTGCATTTCTTTGGGAGTTTTTACGTGCTTTTTGGAGTTTGTACGTGCTTTTTGGAGTTTGTACGTGCTTTGGAGTTTGTACGTGTTTTGGAGTTTATATGTGCTTTGGAGTTTATACGTGCTTTGGAGTTTGTACGTGTTTTGGAGTTTGTACGTGTTTTGGAGTTTATACGTGCTTTGGAGTTTATACGTGCTTTGGAGTTTGTACGTGCTTTGGAGTTTGTACGTGCTTTGGAGTTTGTACGTGCTTTGGAGTTTGCACGTGTTTTGGAGTTTGTACGTGTTTTGGAGTTTGTACGTGCTTTGGAGTTTTTTACGTGTTTTGAAGTTTGTACGTGCTTTGGAGTTTGAGCGTGCTACCACCATAGGTATTTGAGCCAACTCAACATACATTACACTGATGGAACTCATTAAGTTGAATTTTGATTGCTACAAAACTGCCCAAAAGTCTTGAATGACCCCTTGTTCTTCCCCTGAAGGGAGAGAGTATGTAATCGAGTTCGCTTGTCTGTTTGTCTCCTTGTTAGCAGTCTATTGCCAAAGTTGTAAAGATATAATCTTTTTTTTATGGATCATCTTCAAACTTCGCAACAATATACTAGGCCAACAAAAAGCACCTAACTCACAGATTAATCCAAAGGGAAAATTATAAATGGATTGTTTAACACCTTTCTACTCATCGGAGCAAGTGCTTTTTTACTACAAGTTTCATTAACACACATTCATGAATGTTAGAAACAGCGATTTCTAACATTTACCCATATTTACTCAAATTCCAATGGATACATCAGAGGCAACTGAAAGAGTCGGGAAGAGTCAGGTATTGATCCATTGTCCCTCTAATCAGTAGATGACTAATTCCATCATCTGAGCCACAGCCGCCCCAGTGTGTTGGCTGCTGGCAACTTAGCAAAGAGCCAATTTGAAATTGCATCTTTGGGCACTTTGTTACTACCAGGCTGTAAAAAAGAAGAAAAAAAAAGAAAAAGAAAACATAATTTGATTCCATTAGTTTTCTGTATTAACTGTAACTTTAGACCTTACTGCTAACTCCGTGACCGAACAAATTTCAGTAAGTTTGTTTTACACAACTTTGCTGTAATACACCATCACATGATCAGATATTCTTGAAGGACATTGGTTTGCTGTGAACATGGCCTATATAACAAATGTATTAGTGTTAATTTTCACAAAAAGTTTGATTAATCCTTGAATCCCATGTTCAAATTTATCATAAATGTTAGTTTGTTGTTATTGATACATTTACTGCCATTATTGGTCAGTTCGTGCATTTTTTTTACTTTCTTTTCACAATGCAAAATGTGTTCTTTTTGTATTTTTGAGTTCAGCTCCTTTTTATGCTTGAGATGAAAGTGTATGCTGTTAGCTATTTTTCTAACAAAAATTACTAATTTGTTGTTTCTTCTTGTTCATTATTTTAAACTAAAAAGGCTGTTTTATGGTGTTATATGAAACCAAAAAATTGTGATTCGACTGTTTTGCTCAACTCTTGTATTGTGTCAGAAAATAAAATCATTAGCAAACTATATACTGTGGGATGGCTTTTTTTGTTCACAAATTGAGCTTGTGCATCTTAATATTACATGTGTTTATGCAACACTAAATAAAATCAAGTATACACAGAAAACATTGATATTGTGTACTTCCTTGTTGCATTTGCATTTTGCCGTCATCTGCCGTGATCAGTATTTTGATCAATAAATAAACAAATAAATTAATAAACAATATCCATATCTCCCCTCCAGAAATGTTGCAGACCACACCAGATCACACCAAACCACACCGTTTTCCTTCAGCGGCACACAAACTGAAATCAGGTGACTGTTGTGGAAGTTTGCAGGAAGAAGAAACATAAAGGTTTGATGTTTTTTTCTTTCTATCCACATAGTGTTCAGATAACTAAAGAACTTTTGAAATGGAAAAAAGACATAATGGTAACTGTAATGTAATTACTTAATTTAGTACAATAACAGTTACATTATTGCATTACTGAAAAGTATAACGCAATTACAGTAATGTGATTAACATCCAATACTATGCACTAAAAGTAGTTCTTCAACTTGCTTTGGTAAATTCTGATCAACATGATTAAGCCTTTGCTTTAGGTTTGATAACTTAAGCATTGAAAAACTGTCAATCTGATGTCAAATCTGACGTTAAATAGGTGATACAAACTTGCTTTTGCAAGTACCATTGTAATGTGTATATAATCGAACTGAGATTCTCTACGGTGAAAAGGGTTGAATATGTTTGCAAGCAGCATATTCCATTAATCTTAATTGTAGGGCACTGCATGTATTATGATTGGGGCTGAGCCACCCTAAAAGTTAGAGCCTAGAATCGCCCCTGCAGACACTTCTAATCAACCTAATGCAGGAGCCAAAATTATCCTGCAACCGAGACACTTATGACATACGCTGTTTTTGTGCCGAAATTTTAGGCTGAAGTTGTCTGAGAGCGGTGCAGTGTTTGTGCTGAGCCTCACCTCCCTGAGAAGTGGTACAGTCCCGTTAGACGCAGTCCGAGTCCGGTCTGCAGCAGACGCAGTTAGCGGAAAACGACATGACCAACAAACGGTTAAACTACTCGTTAGTATAAAAACGGACAATATAATGAACGTTTACCGGCTGGCTATTTTTTTGGGAGCCTCAGGTAGGTCTTACCTTCTAAAGTAAAACGTTAAAATGTGTTTTCTTTACGGCTAAAGCGCAACAGGTTGATCCCATGTAAACTCGGTGCTTATCCCAGACCCAGGGGCTACACGGGACTCAGTAAAGGCTTCTTTTTGTTTTATTTGAGTGAATAAAGAGAAATACATTCTCAGTTACAGCGATGGTTTGCTCCATTAACATTTATAGAGCAACCCAAGTAATTATTTTCTGGTATTTAATGCTGTTTCGATCGTATGTTGTGGTCCTAAGATGTTTTACTGATTTGTGGGTTATAGCTTTGCTATTACAGGCACTTCTTTGTGCTGTGGTGTTTTCTATAAAAGTACTTTTTGGAGTACAATAATAAATACTACATGTATTTTAGCTATTTTCAGGTAGATGTGCTTGAAAAAAGGCACTTCTGTTTGTTTTCGGAATCTAAAATACAAGAAAATGATGCATGTCTTTGTTATTTATATTAAGAAACTCATCTGAGTTATAGAATAACACAAGTGATCTGTTTCACTATCACTTTATTAGTCAGACCGATTAGTTATACAAAATGTAAATATAAGGCCACTATATAATTTATATATATAAGTGTGTATATTTAAGGGTACCAAAAAAACAGGAAGGCTGGAAATGTACTGATGATGGTGCATCTGTGAAGAATGCGCTCTTCACGTCACTTGTTGTGAACATTGTGAGTGTTTTGTGAAACTGCAGTGGCTATATTCATCCTTATCACTTTTTGTTGGGCTAATGAGTCAATGTGAAGGAATGTATTGCAAAGTAAAGGCAGGAAATGTGACAGCTTTGGAGAGGAAAAGTCTGACTGCTCAGGAAACGTGCTGCTTCCAAGAGCAGGGCTTTGACCTGGGAAACATTTGCGACCACATACTGTGCTCACCCCGGTTTAAACTGGCATCTAATCTTTAATTGAGGCCTTTATGTTCCTTTATGTGTTGAGGCCTTTCCACTGTATGCAGGTGGTGAGGGTGTGACTGTCTGCTGCCTCTGAAACCCAGTCATTAACCTACAGTGAGTCACGGCAGACAGTAAACATTGGTTAACAGGTGTAATCATGATGCATGTCAGCAGTTACAGCAGTCCTCACTCCTCTCACCTCAAACTCATGATATTCATGAATTCCAGTTCATGGGCTAACGGTTTGATTTAAATCTCTTGTGCTTAATTGGTTTGTTCACATCCAGCTGGAGGAAGGCCTGACACTCCCATTGGCTGGGAGTCTGCGACCTCCTCCCCCTCTCAGTTGCTCAAGTGGGACAGGAGAGGGGAAGCCCTAACAATGGACTGGTCCATGAAAAAAAGGAATACAGGGAAGACCACAGCTTTCTGTGGCAGGAATTTAGGAGCTTGGTGACCCTTCCTCCTGTTTGTGCAGTTAAAGTGTATCAGAGGAAGAAGTAAGCTGATGACGTCGACCAGCTGGCCTCAACTTAATGTTAAAAACACAAAGCTGACAAAGCTTCAGCATGCTGATTAGTCATTTAATGGAGAAGTTGACTAAGATGTAATCAGTGTCATATCCGTAACTCTTTGTTTCAGTTTATTTTTAGCTCCATGTTAGTGCATTTGGAGAAAACCAGGAAAATTTATGACTAACTAATAAATTAGTTATTAAAATTATTGTTGATTTTTTTTCTGTTGATTTATTCATTCTGGTTTAAGCTTCTAAATGGAAAGATTTGCTGCTTATATACCAATATTTTTCTGGCTTCATGGTAGGGCTGCACGATTTTGCATAAAATGAGAATCACGATTTTTTGGCTTAGAATTGAGATCACGATTCTCTCACGATTTTCTTTTCCAGTATAAATATTTATTGCACTTATTAACTGCACATCAACTTCGTAACAGTTGAGACTGAACAAAAATCAATAAATAAACATAAAAACAACAAATATCTCACGTTTTGTTGTTGCTGCAACATGTTGTACTGCTTGAAATTCCGTCTCTACCGTTGCTCGACACTGCGTGTATAGAGCAGGTAGTGCAACAATAGAAAAATAGTTGCGGGACGGCACTGTGTAGCGTTTGTCTAGGGTGTTGATCATTTTCCTAAATCCCTCGTTTTGCACAGTGTTGATGGGAGCCATATCTTTGGTCAGGTGATAAGTGATAGCCTCCGTAATTTCTTTGTGCCTGCGGGAGTTCGACGGGTATAAGAAGCGCTGTATAAGGTTCCCGTTATTGATGTTTGGGTGGTTGACTGGGATGGATTTTCTCCTGTCACTTTCTCGTCATCCCTGACGTGCTCTCCGTTTTTTTTTCCTGCTAATTTTAGCATCACACGGCACAGCTTCTGTATCACGTGGTATAAGGCTCCGCCCTTGTCATTTGTTGAGCAGGAAGAGTGAGCGCTTGTTTTCATGCAGATTACGTCCCGGATCAAAATGCGGTACAATCGTGGTCGTCGTCTTTTTTTGTTGTCATTTGGAAATGAGATCGCACATAAGTATGAATCGAGATCGCGATTTTCTAACGATTAATCGTGCAGCCCTACTTCATGGTGTAGTCGTTTACACATTTACTCAACAGTTGAAAGATCCCGTGACCCAAATCCCTCTGGGATTGTGTAAGGAAAGGCATCTGGTGTAAAAGAAATGTGCCAGATCAAATATGTGGCAACTCCTTATTAACAAGGCAGCAACTGAAAGTAACTACTTCTTATTCTTAATTGAATTTCTTTGAGTTTTGGATTGTTGGACATGTCAGAAAAAAAGAAAACACAGCAGCTTGACTTTATAACCCTTTTCCTGGGATTCACAGACAAAATCAATTACTCGGATAACACATCCTTTTCAAAGAATGTGGTGTAGATCCACACCCGAATGCAACGAGCTCTTTCTTTCCTCCACCTCACCAATTTTTCTGGAATTAAGCCTGGTAGTTTTTGCGTAATCCCGCTGACATACAGGCAGACAAATAAAAGCCCAGCAGTGATGACATTCCTCTACCTTGGGTCTCCCTTCTGGAGGAAGAATAATTATTCGCAGTCCTAACTGTTGCCTGGAAATAGGGAAACTTGATGTCTTTTCAGAAGAATGCTGTAGAGGTGCTCATTTGAGATAAATGTCTAAACACAGTGTGTATTCTCCTCTTACTGACCCTGGGAGATGCAGGCTGGTGCTTGGTTTTGTTTTGATTTCCTGTCTTCTGGGACATGTTTAGAGTTGAGTTCCTGCCCCACCTAGAGCTAATATGACTACCAGAAAATCCCCATCAGACTGCTCCACCCCCCTCCTTCTATGATGACAACCCCCTGCCTCTCCCTAGATCTCCCCAGCCCCCCACGCACACTGGAATTTAACCTTCCTGACCCCAGCACCAAACAACAGCGGACCCCCACACACTTAATCTCTCCTCCTGTCTTTCTTTTGGTTTTGATATGATGATAATGACAGTTTCTCTGAAGTACAGAGTCATCGTCAGTCATCTGTACAGATAAAGATGAGATGCAGCTGCTGCTCTGCTCATAAAGTTGCCACTTTCATCATTTTACTGTTTTCAAACTTTTCTTATCTAGACTCACCTGCTAGTTTATCACCTTCCGCTAGTTATGCAGTCTTTTCCTTCACCTGAAGTTTGATGACAGAGAGCAAATTATTACAGAGTCGGCTTCAGAGCATGTGAAATGGACAGGCAGCTGACGTGCAGTGTCCACAAAACACAGGTTATAAACTGAAATTCACAGTAAGATGCATTATATGTGTATTTAAAAGAGTGCTACAGGAGGCAATAAACTCATCCTCTGAAAAACCTAGACAGGCTACACAGTTTAAGGATAGATAAGCTAATTCATTATTCATCATGATTCATCCATCCATCCATCTTTTTCAGCCAATTAAGGCTTACAAGAGGGTGGGACCCTATCCCAGCTCCAATGGGGCGAGGGGTGCAATTGCCAGTTTATCACAGGACTAGCACAGAGACAGACCATTTGCACTCCCACTCACATCTTCTTCATGATCTAGTATCCATGATTACAAGCAAACTAGCTTCACGTGCTGATCGTTCCAAAGACACTTCCCAAAGTTTCACTTTCATAGACCCATGCACTCCAAAATCAGCACCCTTAGCTGTACTACTTACTGAGATTGCTGCCAAAGCAGAGACTGTTCAGAGAATAATTAACTTGAGCTTGAGCTGCAATAACTGACTAGAAAGAAGTCAGTTGAGGGGGGCAGAGTGACCCCACCCCCAATAACACAAAGGTCACATTATCATTTAACACCAACAAAGCTGCAGCCTTCAAAATGACCAAGTAGTGGACAGTAAAGCTGTCTAATATAGCTCATTAAGATTTAAAGGTAAGTTTTGTTAAAGACTGTAGTTTAGCTGTAGTTAAAAAGTTAATAATAAAATCGCAACTAAGTAGTGGTGTAAAGCCTAATCAGATCTTTGACTTACTAACCAAGTAAAATTGATGCAAATCAGTTCCGACATTAAACATATTGGCTCCTCTCATTGTTGTTACATAATTTATTGATTAACAAATATGTTAAAGGTTTAATTTTGTTTAAATGGGACGGATTTTAATGCTTGTAGTGTGTTTTCAGATCTGGCGCTTATATTGGTTGGACTAAAAAATGAGTCTGTAAACTCTGTATTTCATTCTGCAGAATAGGTGGAACTGACTTGCTTAAGTTAGCATCGTGCATATTTACCATTTGCATGACTTAATAGTCAAACTGAACTGATATGTCCATTTTTAGTAGATTAACAAAAGCACCTGTGCTTTATTCTTTTTGCTTGTATGTGTCCATCAGTGTGCGTGTGTGACAGTGTGCATGTCTCAGTGCAGAAGGAAAAGCAGTATGCAATCCTCTTCCAGTCCGTGGTCCTCTCGTGTCAGTACCAGACGTCCTCCGTCCAGCTCCCGGTGGTGCAGTGGTGGTACAAGTCCTACTGTCGAGACCACATGCAGGAGTCCTTCTCTCTTTCGGAGACCCTGGGCATCAAGACCTCAGCGCTGGGACCCAAGTCCCACCTGGAGTGCTCTGACAACACCCGCACAGTTCGGGTAGTGGCATCGTCCCAGGGAGCCTCCATGACGCTGGCTGAGCACTACAAAGGCAGAGACATCAGCATCATAAACAGTAATGTCGCCACTTTTATCCTCAGTGAAATAAGGTGAAAGACTCTGCAGCTGTTTGATCGTCACACATGAGTCAGAGCTGACGTTTTTTTTTATAAATAAATCTCTTCTGCTCCAGTCCTACAAGAATGGCGGTACCACACAGAGGCCCCCGCCCTCGCGCCTATTCGTATGTGGGCTTCTTATCAGGACAAAACACGTCTGCCATTTAAATGTGTCAACAACGCCCTCCTGTTGTCACAAAATCCAATAACAATAAAGGCCAAAGGAAATACATGTAGACCGATAATGACTTTCTTTATGTTTGGCAGTATTTTTTTCATTACTGACATTAAAAACAAACAACTGACTTCAGGACTCTTAACAAATTTTCTTCACATCCAGATAGTTTGTGGTGTTTTGTTAAGAACATGACTTACACTTCCTCGCATTTCAACTGAACATGTTTTTGTCAAGACATGACATTCTCCCTCCCCTTTTTCAGTATTGAGTCCAAACGTGAATTACAGATTTTGGATCTTTAGATGAATTCAGACTTTTTGATTTATAATTCTAACAAAGAGACAAGCATAACCGGGAAAATACTCTCACTTCCCACTGAACAATCAATAGCATGTCATCGATCTTAAAAGAGTTCCAGTTCATAGTCCTCAAATTTTGGGCCACAGTCTTATTGGGTGGCGTCAGTGTTAAACGATTCCGCTTGAGTTTTAAAAATGCAGCATTAAAAAGTTTGCTTTGTGAACACGTTGTGCCATTTGACATATTAATATTTGTAAATATGTAGAAATATAATCTTTGTCCTTGTTTTGTAATCTGTGCAGAAGCAGACCTGCGTATTGGGGAGCTGCAGTGGGGCGACAGCGGGGTGTATTTCTGCAAAGTTGTGATCGCTGATGATCTGGAGGGGAAGAACGAGGATCAGGTGGAATTACTGGTGCTCGGTAAGCATGCGAGAAAGTTAACCTATATTTTTCTATTTGTTTGTGTGTTTGGGAGTTTTTTCCTGCGCGTTGTTGGTAAAGGTTTTAGAAGTGGTCTCTTAATTGTGCTGCATTCCCGAGTGCCCTTACTACGGTTTCCATGGAAACAGCTAAATGGTGTTTCCCTCTTTACATGCCCTCGATCCTCCGTAACGGACTCTATTCTTTAGCCGGTCGCACGCTTTAGAGAGCCGGTGTGGAGCCGTTACATCTCAGGTCAGTTACACAGTATGTCAGGAGGCTCAAAGACTCCAGGGGAGCTTCAGCTGAACAACAGCGAGCGTGTTTGTCTGTGTGGCGTTTGCTCATTGGGGAGTATCACTGGTTAATCATTATACACACCTCCCAAATCTTCACTAAACTGCCAACACTTCAGGACTAAGATCAGAGAGTCATGACTTACTGTAAATCTTGAAGTAGCATTTTCACTACGTAAGATTGTCTTTTTGTTTAACCCAGACTATAAGATGTTGAACTTGGTAATATGTATTTTCAGACCAAACAAGAGCTTGTTAACGGCCCCCCTCCAAGCATTGATGTATTCAATACAGTTAGATGAAAATATTCCCTTCATATCAGCAAAAGCTGAGCCTTTTGCCTCAATTAGCATGTACAGTGTGGGATATGTAAATTAATTCCTCCCCTTTCCTGCTGTCCCTCCCCTTCCTATCCCTTTACTTTTTCAAGCTTTACTTAGTAGTTCTCACACACAATGCCAAAATATCTGGAGGCTGCTGTTTTGGTGGAGCGTTCAAAGCCCTTTAAAAAATCCACAGTAGGTTGTGCTCATGGGACAACAGCTAAGTGCTAACTGCCAACACAAATCATTCAGATGAATTAGCGCTCACTTTTAGCGCTCACAGCTAAAAGGCAAACACACAGAGTGAAACATAGAGCAGAGGATGGCAGTAGAAGTCGTGCACATGTAGACATGCACATGTAGATATGAGGATATTATCGAACAACTAATAATAGCATCCTTCTTTTGTTGGATAAACTTCCCAACTGTGACATCAGAGAGATTAGCCAACTCTTCCTGGTTGATAGGATTGGTTTCTTTGGTCTGTTGCCTATGAACCCTGACTGTGTGAATGAATATATCTGAAACAACATTCCAGATACCTTGGAACTGGAATACAGGAAGTCGGGAGTGATGTCACTCCTGAGTTAGCAAGTTCCAGAAAAAGCCAGGGAAAACAGGATTGTTAGCTCAGGGTTGATGGGACTGCTCCGACTTTCTGAGGTGAGGAGGTGTTCCAGATTCAAATTCCGACTGGTAACTTTGGAATTCCAACTTCTGACTTATACAGGAACACAGCATACTGCTTTGATGTTGCTGTTGCGCTGCACTTCCAGGATCAAAAAGTCTACTTAGTTGTTTGTTTTGCTTGTGATATGAAATAAATACGACTAAAACACTTAAAAAAATAACTGATGGTGTGATCTGTTAGTTACTTTTCTCCCTTTATGTTAGGCCAGCCTGATGCTTATGAAGTCTGCTTATTCATGTAGCCCTCTTTAGTTTAGCACTAATCTGATTACAGTCTTCTCCCAGGAGAGAAGAAGGGGCTTAAATGTGTGAGAATAACAAGACTCATTTGGCTTTAGTGCTGAACTTCTTAGCTTGTGCATGTTGTAATTTTGAAGTTAGAATTAGAAAGTGTGTAAAACTTTTTCTGTGCCAAACTGGTTGTTTTTAAAAGTTTCTGGTACTTATATTCAACTTTCTTCACCAGCGTTACTACAAAACTGCTGCTTGGCTCTAACTCCATATTTAGGCTACAGTTCAAATATGAAAGCACATGATCAAAAAAACATTCTTTGCGTGTTCTTTTGCTCACCAGCACCTTGAACGCTGATAACATTTACTCAGTTCTCTTTCACACTCACTCCCCTTCCCTCCCTTTTGCCTTGCAAAATCTTCTCATGCACTCCTCCATTTCCAGTGTTGGGAAGGTTACTTTTAAAATGTATTCCATTACAGAATACAGATTACATGCCCCAAAATGTATTCTGTAACGTATTCCGTTACGTTACTCAATGACAGTAACGTATTCTGAATACTTTGGATTACTTAATACATTATCGTGCTTTTTACAACAACGTGAATGTACTATTGCTGTGTGATTTATTACTATTACTGAAAGTCCGCGACTCCGAACTGTAGTAAAGGGACCTCTGACTAATACGGCGGGGTCCCTGTCGGCTCGTAGCCGAAAAATAGCTTTACTTTGTTGTGTGGGTCAACTTTCTTGCGAGAGACAGAGAGAGGCGTTGAAAGGCTGCTCCAACGGAACTTATTGTTTTCGGAGGAAAACAGGAACACAGTGTACAGTCGAGTCTTAATAGCTTACTTACAACTGGGCTCGTCAGGCACTGTTTTTGGCTGCAGTGGTTATTATTATATTTACATGCTTCCAGCTCCCGTTTTTTCTCGATGACAACTCGTACCTTTCCACTCCCCTTTTTCTCCCTCCTCGCGCTCACAGACCCATAACGTGTATGGCAGTGCATTCTCCCTGCAACACGGACTACACTGCCCATGATGCTACATTCTTGTAGCATTCTGCCTGTTAGCTTAGCACAACAACAACGAAAATGCGCTCTCTCACCCAAGAAACACACAGTCGCAGAGAGAGAGAGAGCGTCACCCTGTAACCATGGCAACCGTAACGCTGCCGCCTGGAACAAAAGAACGTAGCTGTCAAATGAATCCGAAACATTCCTGACCCGCGACAATATGAAACAGGAAAGTACTGCCGTGTAATCCATTTATTTCAACAAAGTAACTGTATTCTGAATACCACCTTTTTAAACGGTAACTGTAACGGAATACAGTTACTCATATTTTGTATTTTAAATACGTAACGGTGGTACATGTATTCCGTTACTCCCCAACACTGTCCATTTCTTACTCATCGACCTCCCCTCCCTCTCGGAGCTGCACAGCTCCTCAGCTCTCTCAGGTTACGGATGGTATGCAGTCAAGTGAGGCAGGGCCAAGGTAGCAAGGCTGTTTTTTTCCCCACTCCTTAATAAGCGCTTACTCAGCACACTCTGCAGCCTCAGTACCAGGGGTTGTTTAGTCTACCAGTGTTGCCATGTCAGACAGTAACCAGTCTTTACTGTAATCAGGGTTTTCAGACCTCATAATAAGCACATTAAAAACATCCGTAGCTGACTCCTGCACACCTGTTGCTGATCCCTTTCTGTATTCAGCGAGTAATTTCCTTGAATTTTTGTTCTGATTTTGACCTTTATGTCATACATTTTGAGCACAACAGGCACATTGTTTCACAGCAGCGCGACTTGCATGACCTTGTTTTGACGAGCTTGCGCGGTAAATTGTTGTCCTGGTGCCATCAGTGTCCCAGTTTCCAAACCTCCCTGTCTGTTGCCTCTCACGTCTCAGTTGCTTGCATGTGTTTGGGTGTCTGCATGCATGTAAAATGATTAACAGCATTCAGTTAACAGTGTGCAGTTTTAATGTTAATGCTGAGACACGTCGACTGTGCATGGCATCAAAGAAAAAGGCTTTAATAGTTTTTTTTAAGTTTTACTTTATTTTATTTAGCTTTTTTGTGTGTTTAGTTCCCTCTGTGTTTCCCTATCTGTTGTCTTGATGCATGCTCAATCATCCAGGTAAGTAAATCCCAAAAGGTTGATTCTGTTCATCTGGACGTAGCGTTTTCAGTGGGAGAAACGTTTCCTCACTCATCCAAGTGACTTCTTCCGTCTCAGCTGACTTCAGGTTTCCCCAACCTTATAAACAGTACATTTGCACAATAACTGGGCCTTGTTTCAGTTATTGTGCAAATTTACTGTTATTGTGCAGATGAAGAGAATCAACCTTTTGGGATCCCTATCTGTTGCTCCCTCTGTCTCATCTTTCTGGTTAGTGCCTTTGCCCTCCTGTGCTCCCTTTCATCTGACATCTTGTTAGTGTTAGTTTTTGTGTTGCAGTGTAATTGTCTCTTGTTTTTTTTTCCTGATTTCTTTGAAGGTTGGTTTTCTTTCATGTCAGGTTTTACTGGCTCCTTTGTGATTATCCTGATTGTCTTTACCCGTGTCTTGTTCCAATCAGCCCCCAGTGTATAAATAGTCCTGTCTTCCTTTGTCCTTTGTATTTGCTATAATCACCTTTTAGACTCTGTGTTGGTGTTTGGCAGTTTCTCTTAGCTTAGCCTCCTTGTGGCCCTTTCTATTTTGTGTTTCCTTTAGTCTCAGTTCAACTATACCTATTAATTTGCCAGCAGCTAATAAAGGCTTGCTTTTTGTTAGTCTACCTCTTGCTGTCTGGCACGTGGGTCATATTGTAGTTCAAGAGATCAGAGAGGGATCTCTGGGAACAATGAATTTTATGTTATTATTAGGGGTGCAACGATACACAAAATTCACGGTTCAGTTCGTTTCGATACTTTGGTGTCACGGTTCGATATTTTTTCGATACAAAATTTTTTTTTATGTCAAGTTATTAAAATTATAAATATTTCTTTTAACTCAAAAGTACAGTTTTTAAATTAAATGTTGCTGAAACAACAAAATAACAAAAAAAAATGTTTCTGATGGAGAAATCGCTCATATGTGGAAAAGAGAGTTTATTACAGATATATGGCTCTTTCCAAAATAAAAGCTATTTTGTCGACAGCAATAAAAGTAGCGATTGCCCTCTCTATCTCTTTCATGTTCTAACAGCTGTCTAATTGAGTCGGGTAAAGTTTGCAGCATGCCTGCTTGTTGTTGTTTTTGTCTGCTTCCACTTGTCTTTACACTAGCGTGATGTCGGCGTAAATGTGCAGCCATATTCGTTGTGTTCCCACCAATTTAATTGAGCATTGCGTGGCACATCCGACATACTGTTGTACTTTTGTCCACGATGCGCTTAAGTAGGGTCATTCTTCACATGAAAACCAAAATAGTTCCAAACTCCATATCTGAATGACGGTGGAGGAGGTTCAATTTCGGGTAGAGTTGAGGCAGTTGCCATGCTAACTTGAGTGAATGCATATGGGTGGCGCTCAGTGGATCTGCGCTTGAACGCAGATCCACTGAGCCCTCAACACAGACGGCATCGTCAGAAGAAAAGTTGACCAAATAAATTTTAAATTTTGTATCGTTCAATACATATGCGTACTGAAAGCACTGTATCGAACGGTTCAATACAGATACATGTATTGTTGCACCCCTAGTTATTATCTATATAAAACATCCTGGTGGTACAAATGGGAAGTAAATGGACCTCCAGATCAAAAAGGGTCAAACTTTTGGGATGTGAACATATGAACCACATGTCACGGGAGTCCATCTAATAGACATTTCAGTTTGTCACAGACAGCATGGTCAACAACAAACGTCTTCATTGATAAGTTTGATATTTTCTAGATGCAGACCCATTTTTTCATACTTAAACTTTCATTCCCCAAATAGTGCATGACCATTAATCATCTGCCTTCTGCCAAATTTGCTAATTTGCCTGACCTTTTGACTCCCGCTTCCCGCTTCCTCTGCCGGCCTTCACCTGTCCTCTCCCTCTCTCTGCAGGCAGGACAGGTGAGCAGCAAGATCTACTCCCTGAGTTTGATTTGGAGATTATGCCAGGTACGGTCCCTACGCTGCATGTCTGTCTCTCTGCCTGGCATTTTCCAGCTTTTCTATTGCCTCCTGATGTTTCTAATTCCAACTGACCAGATAAAACTCTCTTTGACTAACAAATGTACATTCACTTGTTAGAAATTTGACTGAATAAACATGACAGCCTTGTAGCTGGAGCTTCTACGCCCGATATGAACACAGTTAGTTAGTGAAGCTACATGAAGCCAAATTCACAGAGTTGTAGTTGTTATTGTTTACCTCCAGGTATGATTTCAAATTTCACAGGGGAAATGTGTTGTTAGTGAGTGGATTTTGACTCTTGGCACACCCTGAGGAAGTCTGTTGTTATGGTTTGGATGGTTCAAAGATGTGAGAACGGATAAAAGTAACTCTGATTTCCTTTGATATCCCCTAAAGTTTCCTGTTTGTAGGGGTCTGTTGTCTGGGTACATCAGTGGAGGAGAGCGCCAAACATCAGCTTTTTTTAATAGAAAAAACAGAGACTGGGTTTATTTTTTTGTCCAAAATCTTTGTCAGTTATAACATTTCAGCAATTCAAATGCTGAGATCTGAAATAAACAAAGACATTTCAAAAAAGACTGAACTTCGGAGAACAATTTTCAGCCCTTTGGCTGAATTTCTTCACTCAGCTTCATTTTTTTTCTTTAACGTAACGTTAGTGATATTGAGCTTTTGTCACAAACTGCACAAATCCTTTTGAGTTTGGCCCAGTCTGACTTATTTTAATGGTTGTGGCCATATTTCAGTTGCATCTAGTTACCACTAGATATGACTGTTATGTGAAAATCTTGGTTTTGCTGACCTCCACTGGTTGAACTTCTCACTTTGGTGTAGTGATGTTAAATCACTGTTCAGAGTGTTTAATCATTGACTGTTACCTTTTTTTTGTATGTATGTAAATCAGAATGGGCGTTTGTGGGATCTGTAGTCCTGGGCAGCATCTTGCTCCTGCTGTTGTTGGGGATCTGCTGGTGCCAGTGCTGTCCTCACTCCTGCTGCTGCTACGTCCGCTGCTGCTGCTGCCCTGACACCTGCTGCTGCCCACGACACCGTGAGTAACACAAACAACCCAATGACTGTCCTGCATCCTCTTTAAAAAAATGAATGTCCTTTTTTTAATTGAATATCCCCGTTCTTTAACATCAACAATGAAAGTGTGTTGTTTATGCAGTGTATGAAGCGGGGAAGATGGCAAAGAGCAGACAGCCTGCTGCTCAGGTCCCTCTGTATCCCTATTACATTCCTGGTATACCTACTGTGGTCCCTGTGGCCTCTTCCTCTTACACGGACACAAAGATCAACTCGATCCCCTCAGTGGAGAATAACCTGTCTGGAGGTGAGTAGTAGAGGAAGAATTCAAATGGTTCCTGAAAGATGAGAATTATTTTGTAATTTTACAGGTAAAATTTCAAAATAAGTTATAGGCCGCCTGTATGCAAAATATATTTAATATTTGCATATGGTAGTTACGTGTTGTTTATTGTGCTCATAGTTTATTGATGGATTTTAAAATTCTAATTTCACCTTTGTGATTTGTAATAAAATAATCAAAATTATTAAAACCCCAAAATCGATTAAATACTTTGTCAAATCTTACTGCTATTATTATTATTATTATTATTATTCAAAAAATAGATGAAAATGAACAACTTAACTGATTTCTTTGGAAATGACTTCTGTGCTGGTACTGTTGGAGGATGGGGTCAAAATGACTGGGATCAGCGGTTCTAGTGTTGAAAGTTCAATAACTGTTTTTAACGCTTTTGGAGAGGCAAAAACAATATTGACGAACTCAGTATTCACTCTTCTTTATCACTGCTTTTGAGCTCTAAAACCTTCTCTGAGGACTATTTGAACAAGTGGTGTATGTTATTAACATTTATTTATAGTCTTACATAGAAACGTCAGTGACAGCTGCCTTTTTCTCTTCATCAAACACTGACACGACTAACCTTCATTTCATCCATCTGTCTCTACAGTGAAAAGTCTGAATGTCTGAAATGTCTGAAGAAATGTTCTTCTCTTTTTCCTTTTTTTGAATTTAATCCGTTATTAACACGCAAGGTTGTTTTGTCTTGTATACTTTGCACACTCAAGAGTGTTTGCGTGCGTCCTTGCATGGTTTTGTTTTTCTCAATCTATCTATAGGTGTGTGTGTGTGTGTGTGTGTTGACATTCACAGTGCGCAGTGGTTACCGGCTCAAAGCCAGTCCAGCCCAGGACTCAATAAAAGTTCTGTACTACATAGAGAAGGAGCTGGCTCAGTTTCCGCGCAGCAAGATGGCAGCATTCAAATGTAAGCCTGCACAGATTAGGCTAGTTTCTTTAATCTGTGTGGCAGTGTGTGCGTTTATATGTATGTATGTGCTTTATGTGCATGGTTTGTGGGAATTAAATCTCACTAGTTGCCGTCTAATCCTTTCATATTTGAAAAAAACAACATCTGTCCCTTTTTTCTCATTCACAAATTGCAAGGTTAACTTGTGGAGTCATGCTTTTTCATGAGTTTGAAAACACACAGTCATGTGAAAATATGTGAAGCACATCTTCTTTTCTCAGCTTTGTCAAGTCAGAGTTGTCTGTGTCTCTTTTTCTACCTTGCTAAATCACCATGGTAACGTATACTGAACATATAGTCTGGTTAGAACCAGGTTATGTTCAGAGTTTTGGCTTAAAATTGTCATTTTAACGGATTCTTTTATTTTGCTGCATGGTTCAAGTGGAATAAAGACTCTTCTGGGGAAATATGTAATTTGTTAAGCCGTACTTAACAGATGAGTTAAGTAGTCATTATTATGTGATAATGTCTCTGTCTGGAGTAAGTGACACTCACAGGGATTGTTTTGTGTAGGAGTGAGTTTTATGATCTGTGAAACGCCCCTTTTTATGGGAGTGCACACAGAGGCATTACAGAGAAATCCACCATCATGATACCTGTTATCTCCAACGTGGGATTTAGGTTTTGTCGACTCAGCTAAAGCCAAAAAAAAAAAAAGCCTGTCTGTGTAGAATTTCCTTTGTAATATTGCAACCAAGTGAAAAATCACCACCTCTCCACCAGAGTGCTTCACAGCTGCTATGAGGTGTTTGTGCTGATATATGTTGATTTGCTTTTCTCCAAACGTGACGCTTTCAAGCCAGACAACTCCGCTTTGGTTCCATCTGTCATAATGGCTGTATGAGGCAGGCAGGATTGAAAAGCCAAAATGCAGACTCTCAAGCAGGACTGAGCTCAAAACTCAGCTGTATTGCTGGAAATACAAAGGACATGAAACCAAACTGGGAGAAACTAGAAACTAAACTGACAGGCAGAACACACAGCATTAAGGGAGATCACAACACTGGACAGAGGGAGACACAGACAATATATACACACAAGAGGGAATCAGGGCGAAGAGGAAACACCTGGGGAACACAGCTGGACCTAATCTAATTGACGAGACAGGGGACAAAACATGTTGCAGACAATACTGGAGACTATCAAAGTAAAACAGGAAGTACGAAAAACACACACTATGACGCAGACTGACTAGGTACAGGGAACAGAGGGAGCGAGACACACATTGAGCGAGGGTGACGTAAACACAAATGACACAAACAGACTCACACGCAAGACACAGCGATGAGACAAACACGCAAGATGAGTTTCAAAGATAAGAAACCAAAACCTGGAAATACAAGTAAACATAAACATAAATGAATAAAACTCAAGACTAAATCTGTATAAACTTGAACTTAAATCATCATTATAAAGGAAAGAATAAAAAAAGGCTGGGTAAAGTCCCAGTACCATGGCATCATGTGTACAAAGAACATTGTTCTAAAAGTCTAGAGGTTTATTTAGAAGCAATTTTCCAAATCTTTCCACAAGAATATTGCTTTTAGAGAGAAGATGCTTGTACCTGGCAGCCCTTCCAAGCATGTCACACTTGTTCAGTCTGTTTCTAATTCTACAGTCTGGACTTCCAACGTTTAACATGCTGACTGGGGCCTGTAGAGCGAGAGGGTCTGAGCAGTGTGAAATTAGGGTGAATTTGCTGGAAAGGCCACTTGGGAAGATTAAATTTGTAAATAATCTTTCTCACGGTGGAACGATGCACTGTTAATGACTACAGAGGCAGTAAGGGTGTACATATTTTTCTCACAAACTGCTCTGCTTTATGGGTTAGTTTTTTGCTAAATAAATAACAATACAGTGTAATATGTCACGTGTTGTTGTTCATCTGAGGTAATTTTAGAACCTGAGAAGGACCAGATTAGTTTTTTTTACATTGTCCTGAAATTTATAACCTTAATAATCTAAAGAAGGTGTAGATTATTTTTCACAATTGTACAAAATAGATCAGCTGAATCCCACATAGAGGCTGGAAATATGAGCACATGTATGGAGCATTAATGGCATCACTGTGGAATGTCTGGGATACACTGCAGTTCCTGTGTTCATAATAATAATAATAGTAATAACAAAGACAGATCGTGCATTTGTCATATTAATGTTAATTAATTTGTTCCCTAATGATTCTTTTTTTAATTAGAAAAATAAAAAACATCGTCTGATCCTATTCTTCCTTGAATGCATTCATACCTTTATACCACCCGCTGTTCATTCAAAATGACTTTATTAGTATAAACAGCAAATATCATGTTAGTGATGTGCCTGTCCCAGCAGCCAGGAGCATATCAGAGCTCAGCTCGCTTCATGATGGAGGGACTACAGACTTCAGAAACACCTTTCAGGCGGTCCAGATGAAAGCACTTCCACCTATCGCAGACCTCGATGACCTGTCGGTGCGGAGAGCAGCTCCACCTACACAAAGCCGAAGACTCAGACAAGACAGAATTAACCACTCAGATGATGAACTGGACCGCAGGTAAGGTGGAGAGATGCTTCCCTCTGAAGAGTTTCTATCAGGTTGTTGTGTTTACTGTTTAATGCCAGAAAACATTTGACAGTAGATGTGTCATGGCGACGTCTTTATGTTGCTTGAAACAAAGTGAATCCAAAGATATTCATAGGCAAAACACAATAACACCATAAAAAATGGCTGAAATACTTTATTGTCAACCACAAATTATTGCTAAGGAATGTAATTTTGCCAGTAGAAACAATCAATTATAATTGATCCACTGTTCAATGTACTTCACTGCATCACCTGCAGCAAACGTGGCTGCACGTTTTTCCCCCCTTTGTAAGTAAAAGCAGTCCAAATGTAAACCTCCTGAAAGTGACGTGTTACTCTACGACTATTTTCTCTCACCAAAACTGTTCATAAATAGAACGTTAATACAGGTAATTACCATTTTAAAAAAATTGTTGAAAGAGCTGTTAAAAAGCAAAATTAAACCCGGATGTAAACATTGTCTGCAGTAATGGCTTTTAGTGTAGTGGTTTACACTTTTGCCCAACAAATGAAAGATCCCTGGTTTGATCCTGGGAGGAGACACAAATTCCTCTGTCAAACGTGCAGAGCATCCCGCTGTAGTGACCCATTGAGAATAAGGGATCAGCTAAAAGTAGCTAACATGGGAGTCTACAAGGGTTTTCTAAATTGGCTTCATTTGTCAGCCCTGGAGGTTGCTGCTTGGTGAGATAAATGTTTTCTCCAGTTTTGTTTGTTCTGTTATTAACATGTATAGCGTGGGCTGCTTCTCGCTGTAGGTGGAACTGCCGATCGGAGAACCTGCAGAGAAAGACGTTGGGCAGAAGAGGGCGCACGGGCTCTCTGGATGAGCTGGAGGAATTCGCTCGGTCTTATAGCGCACATGGACGTCGGGGTGCGCCATCAGACCGGCCTTATGAGCGGGATTACAGCCCTCCCAGGCGCTCCTATAGAAATGAACATGATGGCTGGGGGCGCCGCAGCCCGTCACCAGTACTGCAAAAGAGAAGGGACACGTGGGACAGTGATCGCCCGTCTCGACTGCCCCAAAGCAGAGCCTATGATGACACCTTGCTCAACAGCATGCTTGAGAGTAAAACGAGAGGCCGGGGAAGGGACAGAGGTGCTGGGAGGATGGATGAGGACAGTGACACTCCCTCTAAAGGCAGCTCCAGAGGAAAGGGCAGCGATAGTTATTACAGCCGTTCACCTAGCAACCGCCCAGAAGATGAGGACTCTTTGCCTCCGTACTCTGAGCTCGAGGCTGAGAGATACCGCAGGGCTGACCAAACTACAGAGCGGTACCGCACAGCAGAACCTCCCAGATCAGAGAGGTACAGGACCACAGAGGCAGCCATGAAGCCCTTCTCTTACACCCGCCCCAACCAGGGAATGTCCCACACACTGCAAGGGGGCAGAGAGGAGAGAGAAAGGAGCAGAAATCTGGTGAGTTACTTATAGCAGGAACAAGGACTTCCTCTTCTGTTCTTCAGGAAAAAGAGCCTTGAAATCCTGTAAACTGTTGCAGGACAAATCTGGTGATATCCTATTTTCGTCTTAGTGTCAGCAAATACTGTAAAAAGCATAAAACCAGCAATGTGTCAGTCTAGAAACAACTGTCTGTGTAATCAAGTCATGAATTATTCCTTTCTGTCAATTAATGTCCTCAAAAGGTTTATGTATTTTAAAAACTATCGTTCATCCTGACTTAATCCCACATTCATCATCATGATGCTATGAAAAAAAATAGTAAGTAAAAATGTTTCCAGGTGAACTTTATATATTGATATAATTGGAGTCGAGTTGGGACCTATTGTTTGTTTCCAGGTCATTCCGTACTGAAACGGATTCATGGACAAACCCCCAATTAATTAGCAGTAGCTTTGTAGTAGCCCACAGCTCTGCAATCAGGTCAATGTTTTATTGTTTTTCAGATCACTCTTATTATTTTATAGTCCACACACATACTGTTATATGTTCAGTACTAAAGCAGTAGAGTTAGCACACTTTCTTTCATAGTAAGTGGAGCAGTTATGAAACAGACAACCAAGTATATCCCTCAAGACTTGGTGGAGACCAAAACTGAGCTAAAAGGGAGCAACTCACTTGCTTTTATCACATGGTTGGAAACAACTGTCCGGTTGACCTATTATGTAACTTCAAGGCTGACTGCTGTATAAATAAGCATTCAGCTGTTTATCTCTTATATAAATTTAAAAACAATATTCCACTATACACTTCTGAAGCACCCATCAAAAGATGTGCAAAGTGGCCATAAAAAGATGGACATGGTCAGCAACAATACACAGTCAGGTAGACTGTAGCATTTAAATAATGCTCTTCAAGTGTGCCAAGAAAACTTTCCCCACACCACTGCACCATCACCATGTCCTGAACTGTTGATATAAACCAGGATAGATCTGTCTTTTTATGTTTACAACAAATTCCATCTCTGCCATCTGAATGTCGTATCAGAAATGAAGATTCATCATTCAAGACAACGTTTTCTCCGTCCAATTTTAGTGAGCACGTGTGAGTTGTAGCCTCAGTTTCCTGTTCTTAGCTGACAAGAGTGGCTGTTGCAGTTGATCTGCTTCAAGGTTCAACGTGTAGTGTTTTCAGAAAGGCTCTTCTGCATACCTTGGTTGTAACCAAACATTATATGAGTTGCTGTTACCTTCCTATTAGGTTAAAGCAAGAAACACTATCACGCAATGTTTAAAGTCATTTAAATCAGTGAGTTGCTTCCCTGTGATTATATATTTGTGTTAACAAGCTTTTGAGCTGGTTTATAAAACAAAATAGCCGATAAATGTTATAAGCTATGCTTTCCCAAAATCTGCTAAAGCTGGTTTCAATGTTTACAGAAGCACTGTGTGCGTAAACTAACACTGCTGGTTTGAGCTTTACATGAGATTTGTTGACAGTAAGAAATATAGAGAAAAAAACATCTGCCTTGTCCTTTAATATCTTTTATATATCTTTAATAATGTCTCTCAGTGTTATGTACATAATATGTATTATGATTTGTGGTGTCAACACTAAATCATTTTGTGTTGTTTCTACACGACTTTATGTAGCAGTGGCTTTTCTAACCTAATTTTTGATAATGAATGAAAGCGCATTATTCCTCTATAACACAGCCTAGCATGCAACCATTACACACAGGTTTTGTGGCTTTCTAAATATCCCAAAGTCTTTCTTCTTCTATGAGCAAGGTGGCAACCACTGCAGTATTGCATGATTTCTGTGCATGGTTACAAAGCTCTGTCCCCAGGCTGTGCTAACCCTGCATGAGCATGAAAGTGAAGTTCCTAATATGTTGCTCTTGGTATGTTTCCCTAACAGAGCACTGCACTGAGCAGGGACTCACTCATAGTGTGACAGGGTCTCCAGCCTGGACCCAGCACAGCGCTGCCAGCCTGTGCATTAAAACTGTCCTGCAGCTGCGCAGGAGATGCTAACTGTTACAGCTCCAACCACAGCAAGTCAGGCTCATCTCATTGAAATAACATCACTGAAAAACGTCAGTAATGAATCCTGAGGAAAAAGTGGATTTAATATTTGTGTTTTTGTACATGCATATCATATTTTATTTGTTTGTTTGTTTTTTAATTTGTCTTACTTTGTATTTCAATGATGTAACTGGACTCACACTGGTGCCAAGGACAGATTTTGTATTTTATTTTTTTGTTATTCAAAAATTTTAGAACAGCAACCAAGCAGCCTTCAGCCTCCATACTTCTCTACTACTCTGCAGCTCAGGTTCACTTTGTATTTTTGCCTTTGCCTGTTGTTACCTGTGTTCCTGGAAATACTGCGCCTTGAATTTGTACTACAGATTGCAATTGCACTGCTTAATAACTTTTTAAATAAAGAAAACTTTGCTATAGTCTCCTCCATCTTTTGGTTAGTCAGTTTAGTCTTTGCTCTGTAAAATATCGGAGAATACTGAAAAAAACACTCCCAACCCAAAATGGCGAAGTCTTCAGAAACACAACAGGTATGTCTGATCATTTTAAAGGGAAACTGCTGTTTGTAATACTGACATCAGATTTTTGGCGCATCCTGTTGAACTTTGACTCATTTAAACCAGTCAAAGGATTGGAGTTGGGGTTGGTTTATTTACATAATGAATAACTTGTCTTTATATATTGCTAGGAAAAATGGGAAACAGGAGCAGTGATTTAATGAAATGTGCAAACATAAATGACAAAACAGAGTATGTACAATTCTTACAATCTCCAAAGTCAATAACGTTTTTCTTCACCACAGCCTGAACTCTCTTAGACAAACTTTCTTTTCATTTCTTTAAGCAGTCGTCAGCAATCGTTCTCCAGGCTTCTCGAAGGACATCTAAAGCTTCTTCTTCTTTGGCTGTCTTTTATTCTGTTCTCTGTCAAGGTGATCCCACACTGCTTCAGTAATGTTGAGGTTCGATTTCTGAGGATGCCAATCCATGACTGATAGTGTTTTTCTATTGAGGTATGCTTTTACTGCATTTGCGGCGTGTTTGAGATCATTGTCATGCTGAAAAATTAAGCCAGATGTTCTCCAGATGGTTCTGTACAGTGAGACAAACTCAAACAGATGGTTGATTTCTATCATTTTTGTCAAGATCCACAGCACTGGCACCCGCTTAAGAAGTTATCAGTCCAGCCCAAACGATGACAGAGTTTCAATCTGTATTTTACAGCTGGCTGTAAAAACTCACTATTGCACCTCTCTCCTGACCTATCAGTTGATTTGAACCAGCATTGTTTGATTTATCACTTCATAAGACCTGTTGCCACTGATTTTCAGTCCAGTTGTTGCCCAGCCCATTTCCCTTCCTTTAAGGTGGCTTCTAGACAGCCACCCTTTGACTGGGACTGTTTCTGTTGAGGCTTCAATAAAAAGTAGACTCGAGGTCCAGATTTGTAACTCAGTTCCCATGTCAGGTCTTTGCTATTTCTTAAGGGTATGACTTTCAGATGCTGTTTATCTCTTTTATATACTTTTCAGGTCTGGTAATTATTTGTCTGTTTGACATTTTTCATAGATTTAACTAAAGAAATGGAAAGAAATTATGTGTTTTGCTTAGTTTTCAGTTATGTTTAGACAAAATTGGCTTATTCTTGATTCCAGTCACTTTTTTATTCTTAAAAATTACTAGAATGCTCCTTGAAGGAGGGTGGCTCCAGACTTTTTTACAGTACTAGTTACTCTAAAAAGTAGATGAGATTATGCCAATTCACCAACAAAACAGAAAGTACTCCAGCCTGACAGAAAATTGCATTCAACACTAATGTATCATCACTCAGCATGTGTATATCTGATCCCTACATTATTCATTCATTGTTAACCTTCGCATATAAAAATTAAGTTGATATGTTTTCTTACACATATATTTTCACTCACGTCACAGTTTTCTGATTTTAATTGATATTTGCATTTTATTGCTCTTTCAGGCATATTTATGTGGTTTTAAACCTGCAGTCAATGAATCTAAAGCATTTAATCAGGCATGTGTCTGGCATGTGCAGCCAGTGTCTAATAAATTCAGATTTAATACATGTAAAGTGGTGCTACACGAGAGCCTGGAAACTGATTTGTTTTGAATGAGCTGTTTTCCATAGTGCTGAAAGAATTTTTTCACTTTCACTTGAGAATCACACTTCACCTCCAGACAGACAGACAGATAAAGTCATTATTTGTATTATAATAATAATACATTGTATCACTGCATCATCATTATAAGAAGATAAAAAGTACAAAGTAGCACAACGTAGAAATACCCTCTTATATTAAGTATTGTATTTGAGTAAATGCACTTTATATCATCATGTAAGCAGTGTCACTTATTATAATGTAAATTTCTATTGTCACCACAGAATTTGATCTTTGAGTGCTCATTGAGTCTGATAATGCATGTGTACCTTGGATGAAGCCTGTGTTTTTCTTATCAGAGCTTATTAAATATACAGAGCTGAGTAAACACTGACAACATTCAGTATAAAAATACACACAGTGGTGCTCATATGAGGCATGTGTGGGACTAATATAAACAGTTTCAGGGTTTGTGTGTCTTTCTGCTCCTTTTCCTTTGTGTAAAGTTATTTTGTGTTGTGTAGAATGATTTTGCTTGTTTGTGGATGTGTTTTGTCTCTATTTTTTTGTCATTCTCACTGTGAGTATTTCTTTACGTTAGAACAAAATGAAAGAAAAAAAAGTGCAGACAAAACCATAACTGGATGACATTTGGTAATGTAATATAACACGGGCCGCAAATAACAGTGTAAATGTTTTGTATACACTGGAGACTCGCAAAGACAAAGGTACTTCATGTCCTCAGCAGGTACTGATAAAGAAGGAATTGAAAAATTAGCATGTAGTGAGCTTCAGAGTGAAGCCAGGAACATTTTTAAAGCTCTTTATTCATGAAGCTTTGTTTTTCACTGAATTTCAAGCACACTTGAATGAGCTGAGCTCAGCACTTGAGTCCACCTCAGGCACGCTTGTCTTCTGTTTTTACCATGAAGTCTGCAGTGGTGTACATCCTCAAAAGGAAAAGTAAACATCATTCAAAGAGCTCAAATGCTTCTACAACATGGCTCATCTGTGAACTTTACACTCTGGCTGCATGCCATAAACGATAAATGGAATGGAACCGACCTGCTTCTCCCTCACTCACTTTACACAGTATCCAAGCTTCCTTTTATACAGTGAGGGAAAACAGACTTAAAACTCCCATCATGGATCTTAACTTTAACATAAAGAATGCCTCCATCTATGGTGTAAATAGTATAATGTAATACAGTAAAGTATTGTATTGTATAAGGATACCATGAAGCAATCTGGCCATTCTCCTCTGACCTCTGACATCAACAGGGTATTTTCTCATCGAGAACTGCTGTTCACCGGATATTTTATATCTCTGATAAACCTTAGAGATTGTGCAGGAAAATCCCAGTAGATCAACAGTTTCTGAAATACGTCCCGCATTCTGATACTTAGTTTGAACTTCAGCAGGTTGTCTTGACCTACATACCTAAATGCACTGAGCGGCTGATTAGATATTTGCAACAGGTATAACTAAAAAAGTGGACAGGAAGTATATAACCACCATAATATGTAAACTGGGCCAATAGTTATAGCAAGTCACATATCCTAGTATTTTTTTTCTTTTCTCCTTTTCCTCTCTCTTACATTCATTTCTTAGGTGCTGGGTGATTTAGATATTATCACCATCATATATTCTCAATTATCCCCCACTCCAATTATTAGTAATATCAGAGGATAATCCACAGCTCAGTCAATAATGAATCAGTGATCATTACTGCGTTTGTAAACTTCTTTTTAAGATGCTTTATATATTATATTATATGAAGTAGCATCCTAATGATTAGGATGATCAGCTGAGGTGAGTATAATTCAATTCAATTCAATTCAGTTTTATTTATACAGCACCAAATCACAACAACAGTCGCCTCAAGGTGCTTTATATTGTAAGGTAGGTACCCTACAATAATACGTACAGAGAAACACCCAAAAATCATATGACTTCCCATGAGCAAGCATTTTGGCGACAGTGGGAAGGAAAAACTCCCTTTTAACAGGAAGAAACCTCCGGCAGAACCAGGCTCAGGGAGGGGTGGGGCCATCTGCTGCGACCGGTTGGGGTTAGAGAAGGAAGGCGGGATAAAGGACATGCTGTGGAAGAGAGGCAGAGATTAATAAGTATGATTCGATGCAGAGATTGCAAACTGGAAGCTGGTTCCACAGAAGAGGGGCCTGAAAACTGAAGGCTCTCCCTCCCATTCTACTTTTAAATACTCCAGGAACAACAAGTAGGCCTGCAGCGCAAGAGTGAAGTGCTCTAATGGGGTCATATGGTACTATAAGGTCATTAAGATAGAATGGGGCCTGTGTGTGAGGAGCAGGATTTTGAATTCAATTCTGGATTTAACAGGAAGCCAATGAAGGGAAGCCAAAACAGGAGAAATCTGCTCTCTCTTTCTAGTCCCTGTCAGTACTCTTGCTGCAGCATTTTGGATAAACTGAAGGCTTTTCGGAGAGATTTTAGGACATTGTGATAATAATGAATTACAGTAGTGGAGCCTAGAAGTAATAAATGCATGAACTAGTTTTTCAGCATCACTCTCAGACAGGATATTTCTCATTTTAGAGATGTTACGCAAATGGAAAAAAGCAGTCCTACATATTTGTTTAATATGTGCATTGAAGGACATGTCATGGTCAAAAATGACTCCAAGGTTCCTCACAGTGTTACTGGATGCCAAGGTAATGCCATCCAAAGTAAGAATCAGGTTAGATACCATGTTTCTAAGATTTTCAGGGCCGAGTACAATAACCTTAGCTTTATCTGAATTAAGGAGCAAAAAGTTAGCGGCCATCCAGCTCTTTATGTCTTTAAGACATTCCTAGCAGTGAAAATGTATGCTATGCCTTCTGACGATACTGCCTAAGGGAAGCATGTATAATGTAAGTAGAATTGGTCCTAGCACTGAACCCTGTGGAACTCCATAATTAACCTCAGTGTGTGAAGAGGAGTCTGTTAGATAGATATGATACAAACAACTGCAGCGCAGTACCTGTAATAC